CGGACGAGACTGGGAATATTTCGGGTAGCGGGAAAATTATCAAGTGTTCCAGGAATTATGATAATAGTAGTAGTACTTTTCTTTATAAAATTTTTATTTTAAAGTTTTTCGGCTATTTTCATTATTCCTAGGACAATTGGTAAAAATTCATTCACAATCGAGAATTCACTGAGAAAGTCAGTTGTCCTTGGGAATGAAATTAGCTATCAAACAAGCCCGTTGGCCGGCGTGTCCTTTAAAGTTTCGTGTTGTTACAGCTGTTATCATTATTTCTGAGACACCTGATAATTTTTGCTCGCTACCGAATCATTCACAGTTTCATCCGGTAAATTGCCTAATCTCTCGGAAACTATGTCGTTGTCTTTAGACTGAGGATCTGAAGACAGTGATATAGTTTCTGAGAGATTAGGCAATTTACCGGATGAAACTGTGAATGATTCGGTAGCGAAAAATTATCAGGTGTCCAGAAATAATGATAACAGCTGTAACTTTATATGACTAATCTTAGATTTTTACAGCTATTATCGTACACTGAAAAAAAAATATTAGCTAAAGTGGCAATTTATTGATTCCGACTCGGTAACAATCAGCAATTTTTCAGTGTCCCAGAATTTATGATAAATAGCTGTAATGATTTAGTTTTGCTTAGCCTATATGGTGTATATTAAATTCCGATAGTATAAATCATATGAACTTTTCGGTTTTAAACAAACTACAGTAAATCTGAATATAGTAATCTTTAATAAACTTTCGAACTCGAAAATTTCTCCTTTGATAATTAATTGAAATATAGATCTATATGAGCATAGATTAATAAATTATCTGTATCTACTTTGAACCTATCGTAAACTCGAAGAATACATAAAATGTAATATGAAAAACAAAAAACTAATATCCTAATATATATTGTTAATTTCTAGATATAACTGATTATATTTTAATTTATTCAGCTTTACAAGAAGCAACTTTATGTAAATATGCTCCAAATAACTTAATTCCTTGAATATAATTTGAACGATCAAGTTTTTCGATTGAGTATGCACCCTAAATAATTAAATATAACGAATAAAATTAATCAATAATTTCACAATAAAATACTAACTAAATAATACAGTATAATTTAATGCATACGTCATCACCACGACCCATTGGAAATAATACCCCTTTTTTTTCAAAGCATCTGGAAGTAACAGGAATAGAACCACCTTCATGTGTCAAATCAGGTTTGCATTTGAAATTCTTTCAACAGTTTTGGAAGCAGAAACTGCCCATTTAACAATAATAAATTCATTAGTATATACAACATAGTAGTAAAATAAAATTCATACGTAGAAAACAAAAAGATTGCAAAATAAACCATACCATAATTCCAATGATTAGAGTTTGCAACCCATGACTTATCACTATGTGAACATTCCACAGTAAGGTTGTTTTTACTACCCAATTCCGCAAATTTGGTTTTCAAGTATTCTTCACTAATCCATCGACGCGTTTAGGATCTTGGTTTGGAACAATTCTGATTGAGAACTTTCCTGTGACTTTCGCAGGTAA